TGCAATTTCAGAATAATAATACCCAATACTTAAGCAGTACATGTAATAGCAAGCATGGTTTTTTCCCAAAATGACTCGGAAATCACCCCCAATTTTTATTACATTTTCTGATACATATTGATGTACTTATGCCGTATATATAGTTTGAGCTGATTCCTACTTCAATTTTTAAAGTTATGGCCATTTTAAGAAAATGCCAAAATTCTGAAATACCATATAGCCAAAAAATTTAGTGAGGAATAAATTTTCATATTTTCGTGATCACTGTTTACATCACGAAAAATTAAACCCCGAAAATAAATCTTAATTGAGAGGTGTGGTTAACCACACTTACTAATAAATGTGCCCTCGTGTCAAGTCGTGTTCTCGGTCAAGCTGATGTCTTTGTTACTCTGTATTGCTATTTTAAGCATATATTGCCTAGGTCAAAGATGATAATCTTCCCCATCACTGGTGTCCACACTGATTTGTAGACATGGTGCCACTTGACACAAGAGTCCATCTCAATCATTGAATCTGCCATGTTTTAATTGAATAAGGCGTGGTCATTATTATTATTAAAATAAAATTATGAAAATAATTATCACGAAATTTCTCCATAAATTTCATTATTCACGAAATTTTAAGCCTCAAAAATTTTTGGCTATATGGTATACTCAAAGCTATAGCCCCTCTCCCTCTCTCCTTCCTCCTCATACAACAGCAATAACAATAACAGATACTGTACTGGTGCAAATATTTGTGGTGTTAAATTTTCAGGATTTTTGGGAAAATATTAATTTCGTAGTGTTTTAATTTCACGTTTTCTATTTAAAGCACTATAAGGTGTGGTCATATGAAGAATTTCACTGGATTAAAACTTCAACAACAAAAATAATGAAAATTAATTCCTCGTGATATTTTGTACCCATACAGTAGTATAAATAAATAATAATTATAGACTAACTTCTTAGAGTCAGGGTCCAGTGAGCTGGTAATTCTCATCAGTCATAACTTGTATCAATGATTGTATCACTGATCCATCAGTTACTCCAGTACTACTGATAAATATATAAACACTAATAGTACATAAAATAGAATTATCAGTTTACAAAACATTAGAATACCTCAATTCCCTGAATCAAGCAAAAAACAATATCCCCCGTATTATTAGGGTGGGTTAGCTAATTCGATCAAAGATCACGTGGGCGTTGTTATTGAGCCCCACCCTTCTTTTGCAAAACTTGAGCTCATGGCAGGGATCTCGGCAGGAATAAAAAGAAAGTCTTCTGACGAATGGGAAGCAGAAAACTCTCTGAAGAAAAGGAAAACTGATGGATCAGAGCATTGTAAGTATTTGCTGGACTATAAATGATTCATGAATCATGTATATACATAATGATAGATTAATTAATGATCTACTGTATATTAGTAACTAATTTTTTATACTAAATACAATTATTTAACAGTTACCGATCTTGCTGAGGTAATTCAATTACTCAGAAGACATGGCTATTTTGGAGTCAGTTACTATGACCTTGGTCTCTTTCTTGGACTATCCTCCGCTAGGATGGGTGTGATTACAAAGAATAATAGAAATGATGCTGAGAGTTGTTTGCGGGAGTGTCTTGCTAAATGGTTAGAGAAAGCTGATGATGTTCAGAAGAAAGGTGGTCCTACTATCTATTCATTGCTATCAGCATTGAGGGAATTAGGAGAGAATGCTGTAGCTGATGGAATAGATATGGAGAGTATGTTTAATGATGAAAATGAGCATTATTTATTATTTCTTTATAGTGCATCCTGCATGTAAAATTCTTTCTTGTCATTCAGCTCAAAATTCTCTTGTCACTGCATTGCCTCAGCTGGTTTTACTTTTGCATGCAGCAAAACTGATAAAAGAGATGATCCTCCCAACTAATATACAAGGAGAAGCTCTTTTGATTAAAATAAAGGAAGCTGTTTGTATTGATTATCAAAAACTGGAAGCATTTGCTGATATTTTATGTAAAAGTACAGCCACTGCTAAAATAGGAAATACTATCATGAAAGAATACAGTAAATATTGCATCATATAGGCATGTAAATAATAGTTTTATAGGAGAAGTTTATTGCAGTGATGACTTCATTCAAGCAAATGATGCTGTTGGTAAGAATTAGCTTCTTATGATAACATATATTACTTAAGTTAGGATTGAAGATTTATCTTCCTATGAATGTTACTTCCCAGTTTCAGTCAATGCGATTAAAGATGGGGCAAACATTCTTCAAAGTGGGGTCAATCATGATGAACAACCCTCAGTCTCCAACACTAGATAATATTAAATATGTTTTGGGTGCATACGACAAAACATTAAGGCCACAAGTGGCTCAGTGTCAAGATATCCACAGTATTCTACAGTTAGTTTGTGATAACTGTCAGCTTGATGATATTAGTCTGCTGGAGTTTTTTGTTAATGAGTTTAATATAGAGGAGGCTAAGCCAGTCATTGAGGAGTATAAAGAAGCTGTTGAGGAGCTAAAGGAAATGAAACTCAGTCAATACCTAAATAAAATGGTTTCACATGCTTCGCCAATTGAGTGTGAAATTGTTACCATTTTTGTAGATGAAAATGTTAAAGAGTTCATACTTAATGATGTCAAGATACTTTCATCAGCAGTATTTGGAAATTTATCACGACATGTCAGATTAAATGTTGTTAAATTTGGCAATTCTTTCACTATCACTTGTTCCTTCCCTTTGATTCTATCTGAGCAGTTAATTACAGCTGCTCTTAATAATATTGATGTATTGAAGGAAAGCAAAGTGAAGAGATTAACCATTGGATACTGCACTGTGTATGAGGTAAATAGACTATTTTATGAATTGATATTTATTATCAATAACAGGTAAAGGACAACTCCACTCCTACTACAACAGAAATAGATGAATGCACCTCATCATTATCAACTAGTAGTGGCTTATCAAAACAATTGATGCTGTCATTGAGTGTAGAACTGATTAATAGTAAAGAGGAGGTTACTGCTTTAAATGAGGTACCTTATAGCTTGAAATTTTCATGGAATGTACATTTCGTGGTTTTTGTGGTTATGGGCTGCCCACAAAATTTAAACCCACGAAATCATTGAAGTGCCATCCCCTTACAGGCTATGTAAACTGTCAACCACAAAAATTAAACCACAAATTGCCCCACTAGGAGCAAACCACGAAAATATCGACCCACAAAAATATCAAGCTATACGGTATGACTAATAAGCTCTTCTAATAATATTTACATGAAGTAGCATGAATGATTAAACTATGATTTGCATTAATTCTTAATTTATTAATAATAGGAAAGTATAACAATGAAGAAAGAAGCAGAGTCATTAAAAGAAACGCTGGTTGCCAGTATAGCAGAGAGTAAGAGGTTTAAAAAAATAGCAGGTATAAAGAATAATTTTTGTGATAGTTTATTTGATTTTAATTAGCTGAGACTAGTCAGTTACTACAAGAGAAAGTATCACTATTAGCAGAACATGAAGAAGTTAGTCAGAAATTTGACCTATTTTATTACTGATTATAATGGTAATATAGGAAAATGAGAATTTGAAAGAAATAAAAGAATTATTAGAAGAGCAGCTTGCTTTATTTCAATCAGAGAAAGATGGTATACACAAGTTTGCATAACATAATATTATAATAATAAATTCAAATTACAAAGAAATCAAACAATCAGAAAGTGGGTCAATTGTAGGTACAATTGCAAAGCATGATAAAGGATATCATCAGGAAGAGAATGAAGGTATGTATGATGCTATATAATAGAGATAGTGACTCATTCATTAATACAGATATACCAAGTAAAGAGGCTGAAACAACTGAAACACTACAGTCAATTCATAAAAGTTAGTAAAAGTTTTGATAATTCTACTTTTATGTAAGATAATATATTTTAGCAATACAGCGGCGAATGGCATTTGAAATTGAAAGTTTAAAAAGAGAATTAAAGCAAAAAGATAATGAAATCAATGAAGTACGAGGTCAGGCAATTAACTAGTCTAATTGATTAGGAATTATGATTAAAAACTTTATTATAGCTGAGAGTAAAAAAGAAATAGAATTATTACAAGAGAAAATAACAACAATGAATTTACAACAAATTAAGAAAGATAAACAAATGAAAGGTAACTATATAAGTTTAAATGCTAGAAATGAAAATAATGTCTAATGTGATACCATCTGACATACCAATGATACCAGTCTAATTTTTAATTTAGTATTATTGTAGGAACACTAAAAGAAAAGGTTTCTTTTGTAAGCATGCATGCATGCAAAATAGTTAATTTTTTAATTACTAATGATAGGGGGAGGTATTTGAAGATGATAATTATGGAGACATAATTATTGACCATCCATTGATTTTGAAAATAATTATTAGTGAAACAAAAAAATTTAAGAGACTAATAATACATTTGGCAATGGTACATGTAAACCATGTGCAAACTGATGAAACTTGTATGTAGTTTTGTTTACACAAACAACATATTGCCAAACTCGCATGCAAAATACTACAATCATTCTCTCTCTCTCCCCCTCTCTTTATGAGTACTTGGTCTAGTGGCATTTAGTCATGGGTATAGGTGAATCACAGATATTTAGCACTAAGAAATAGGCTATTGATTATTATTTAACACCTAATTAACAATTATAATTTATTCATTCATGCAAGTGACAGTGCAATTCCTCCAAAGTTCACTGTCTAGTAAGTACAGCAAACATACACTCCTAACAGGCCAGGTAAACTAACTGTAATAACTTAGCTTTGCCTTACACATAATGTTAGCTTATAGTCTTTGGTAGATAGTTAACGCACACATTAACTTTAAAATTTTATTATAGCTTCTCCACAAGAGAAAAATCCACTCGTAAGCAAGTTATACTCATGTAAACTTGACATTATTCTCAATGATACAGATATTTCAAGATGACATTTATGGTGGCATAACTATTGACCATCCATTGATTAGAGAAATTGTACAAACACATCAATTTCAAAGGCTGAAAGATATCAAAAAATTAGGTATAAGCTAATCTTACATT